TGTTCAACATAGATATCAATGATGTCATCCAAAGACTCACTCTTATCATCATCTTGATTCACAGTAAAGGCAAGAACATTTTAATTATCAAAGGACTCATCTTCCTCACTCTCACTCTCACTCTCATCTTGGTCACTCTCACTCAATGTAGTAGCCATTGCCTTACCTTTCTTCTTTTTTTAGTGTGTTACCACACTTAGATTGTATATGCACAAACCCCTCACACTCATAGCACTTGATACCTTTATTTTTCTTTCAAAAATCTTGTTGTAAAGGTACCAGAGGTTTGCTGGTCGTAAAACTTTTCACAAAATTTTTTTACCATTTCCACTCTCAAAAGGCTTTTTCATGTTTTTCTTCAAAAACTTTGCAAAATTCTTTGAGTAAAGCACATTTTTCATCATCAAAACCACTTGAATCCACATTTTCAAAAAGTTCAGAATCTACCTCATGTTTGAGAGCCAAACCTTTGCTCAGTTTTTGATTGTCCCATAATTTAAAATACAGCTCAAAAGTTTGAAGAGAGCCAATGAGTTCATCAATGTCCATAGAGTCCACATCACGACATTCTTCTATGGTGGTCACTTTTGACATGAATCTCTTGGGAAGAGAGCAAAGAACTTTTCTGACAAATTCAGGGTTAGTATAAATTTTTCCCAAAGCAAAACATTCATGATATACATCACAAATTATACCATGAAAGTCAATGATAGTCTCATCCTCATGCATAACCAAATTTTCAAAATCAGTCACAAGTCTTCTAAGCTTATTTCGTTTAACAACACTAGTGCCTTCATTTTTAATTTGAACCATGTCCCAAGCATCTTTGGCAAGCTCACAGTTGACTGTGACTTTCATTTGGTTCACATTAACAACATCGAAAACAACATGAATGGCTTTAGAGTTAAAGTTAGCAAAATCTAACTTAGCTTTAGTCCAATCAGCAATAGGTTTTGGACGAAGCACTTCATTTTCGACTACAACCAAGGTTGTCCAACCATCCACAACCATGATCCAAACTCTTTCTTCAATGGACTTTAAAAAAGTAGCATTCTAGGTCTCATGTATAGTAGTTAGGACCTCTTAACAGGGGTGGTCTATGAGCTTACCCTCCTTCACTAAAGAAGCTCATGATAGTTAACATTCAAATAGACGTGAGCACAACAAATAGATGTGCACACACGAACAAGCAGCAAACCAAAAACAAAACACGTCAATAGACCAGATTTTGACCAAATACAAAACCAATCAGATGCACATGAAAGCAAACAAAATGGGTGAGGATCAACTGAAAGAACTTATCAAAACAAGCTCTGATACCACTTGTTAGAGTTGGTGAACTCTAGTTAACTTTAGGATACCTGTTTTTTAAAAGTGCAGTGGAAATCTTTACCAAGTTGATTAATGGTTATCAAGTTAAAGTATAAACCAACATCCATAAGCGGTAAATATAAAGCACACTAGCATAAACACGGTTTGGCTAAAACCACTCTTAGCCTACATCCATAGTACCTCGTCCAAATCGAAGTAAATCCACTAAATAACAAACAGTATAAGATATAATTCAAAGTTGATTTTAGCTACATCAAAGAGAAGTCCCTATTCTAGTTACACTAAACACCAACCTTTGAATCTCCAATGTCTTGTCGCTCCAAGGATCTCTTTACATTCAGAACACACCCGAAGAACAATTGAGCTCCACCCAAGTTTCACCCCCAAAGCCACGCTCCAGCATCAACAATGGAACCAAGTTCCAGCCACCATTCAACAAGGATAAAAGATGATGAGAGTTTGGCACAAAAACATAGTATGAACCTTCTAAGGAAAAGACTCTCTGAAAAATTCAGAGCACAAGCAAATATGCTATCAAAGGTTAGTCCAAAATACACAAGAAAGAAGATAATATAATGAAGTTTTCTTGCTCAACAATTTGTGCCATGTCAGCAAACAAGGGTTGAAATATAGTTGGCCAAAAAGAGGAAATGATTCCACCTTTATTTTAGGACCACAACCAAATCAAGAAAAAGCATGATTTTTCCTTGGACCACAAAAGGATATTGTGACACCTGTAGGTGGTCCTTATGACAACTCAAAAGATGGGAATAAATATCTTAGCTGTTTGGACAAAAACGCAACTTGTGCCAAGTTGAGTCAGATATGCGATGCTAGCACGAAAACGCAGTGTGCTCACAATCATGATCAGCAGTTGTGATCAAGATGTCTGACGCGAGTGTGCGAGCATAAGACTATTGTGCACACACACTTGAAATAAAGTCGCGATCGGACATGAGTGTGCGAGCATAATATTGTTGTGCACACACTCGACACAAATGTGCCGAAAACATAAGTTTGGCATTCCTGTGCACACACACGATTGTTGTGCACACATACAGCATAAGTTTGACAACATATCTACAGTATCAGAGATGTTGGAGAACAGACTAATTAGACTCAATCGTAGTCCTTTTTCATCACCGATTCTATTGGTAAAGAAATGTGATGGTTCGTGGCGATTTTGTGTAGATTATCGAGCCCTGAACAAGATTACAGTACCTGAAAAGTTTCCCATTCCAATAGTCGATGAGTTATATGGTGCCACAATTTTCTTCCAAATTCAGATTCGCATGGCAGAGGAGGACATAGCAAAGACCGCTTTTAGAACTCATAAGAGCCACTATGAATTCTTGGTCATGTCGTTTGGCTTAACCAACACTCTGGCAACAATTCAGAGTACCAGGAATGAAGATTTCAGACTGTTCCTTCATAAGTTTGTAATCATTTTTTTTATGACATCTTGGTATACAGTTGTGACCTGGACACTCATGCAAAGCACCTCTTAGCTGTTCTTTCTTGCTTGCAGGATAATATTTTTTTTGCTAAGCAAGAGAAATGCGTATTTGGTGTTAGTCGTCTAGAGTACTTGGGACACATTGTTTCTGGTAAAGGAGTGGCTCCTAATCCTTCTAAGATCAAAGCTATGATTGACTGGCCTCATCTAATGACAATACGACAATTGCATGGATTCTTAGGGTTAACAGGATATTACAGAAAATTTGTGAGACATTATGCTTCCATTGTTGCCCCATTAACAAACCTCTTACAATAAGACAAGTTTGAGTGGTCCACTGAAGCCTTGACAGCCTTTAAAAACTTGAAACAAACAATGACTCAAGCTCCAGTCTTGGCTCTACCGAATTTTAATAAGCCATTGGAATTGGAAACGGATGCTTCAGGTACCGAGTTGGTGCTATACTCATGCAAGACAGTCACCCAATAGCATTTTTTTAGCAAGAAACTGCCTCCTCGGTTACAAAAAGATTCAACATATGTTCGTGAGTTGTATGCCGTTATAGAAGCAATCATGCATTGGCGGCAGTATTTACTAGGATAAAAGTTTGTCATTCACACAAACCATCAGAGTTTGCGGAATTTATTATCACAAGTGATCCAAACTCTTAAGCAATATGCCTATCTCATTAAACTCTTAGGATCTGATTTTATAGTGACTTATAAGTCGGGCAAATCTAATCCGGCGGCAGATGCATTATCATGACATTTTGAGGGTGAACAACAGGAGGTCCAGGCTGAGACATTTTCTCTTACAGTTCCAATTTTTTCTATCCTAGGCCTGATGCGAGACACATTACAACGGGATAAATTTTGTTAGAAAATAATGACAAATCTTCAATAAGAGATACACACTCATCCGAGCTTTGCACTGCGAGATCAACTATTATTTTATCACGACAGACTTGTGGTTCCTGCAGACAAAGAATTGAGGCAACAACTTTTGACTGAATTCCATTCCTCTCCTTTAGGTGGGCACGGTACTATTCGTAAGACAGTGAGTAGATTATCATTAAATTTTTATTGGCAGGGATTCGCTCAGGATGTTCAAGAATTTGTGAAAAGTGTCATGCTGTCAACGAGCTAAGTATCAAGCTCATGCACCAGTGGGATTACTCCAACCATTGCTAGTACCTCATCAGATTTAGGAGGAAGTAGCGATGGAATTTGTTACAGGTCGCCAAAGTCAGCAGGTTGCTCTTGTCATTTTGGTTGTGGTTGACAGGTTGACCAAATATGCACAATTTGGGCCGCTCAAAAAAGGTTTTATAGCTGCGAAGGTGGCAACGCTAATTGTGAGCATGTATACAAACTACATGGACTCCCAAAATCAATTCTAAGTGTTCGCGACCCTATTTACTTGAGTGCCTTTTGGCAAGAGTTGTTTGCACGTAGTGGAACAATTCTAAAGCACAGTATGGCATACCATCCTCAAACGGGTGGTTAAATGGAGGTGACGAATCGTACACTAGAACTGTGTTTACATTGTTTTACCATGGATCAGCCGCAAAAGTGGGTGGAGTATTTACCATGGGCAGAGTTCTTCTTCAACACTTCCTATCATACTGCCGCAGGCACTACACCATTTAAACTTGTGTATGGCCGTGAATCCCCCCCGCCCCCCACCAACACACACCCCCCACACTCCCCCCACTCCTCCCCCCCCCCCTCCCCTCCCCTCCCCTCCCTCTCCTATTCAGCCTAATACAGCTGGAATCAAAATTGGAAGCAGGGAATTGGGAACTAGCCAATAGAGACGTGCTACTGCAAGAGCTGAAGGAAAATTTAACTCGTGCTCAACAGCAAATGACTCGAAGTGCTAATCGCAATGTCGGCAATTAGATTTTCAAGTGGGTGACATGGTGTACTTAAAAAACTTCAACCATATCGCCAAAATTCCTTGCATGGTGAAGGATACATGAAACTTGGTTGATGGTATTATGGCCCATTTCGGGTTGTTTAAAAAGTGGGTCAAGTGGCTTATAAGTTGGCGTCACCGCTTGAATAAAAAATTCACCCCATATTTCACGTTTCACTTTCAAAACCTTGTCACGCATTGGTTCCCGAGCACGAATTGGCTTTAGGGCTATACCTTCGGCAGTTTTTAAGGGTCTCCCATAGGCTGTACCATTGGCAGTAGTGGGGAAACAATAATGCGAGCTAGTGGAAGAGTGGAGCAACTATTAGTTCAATGGCAAGGTCTTCCTTTGGAAGACGCATCCTGGGAAAATACAATAGAAATGGAAGCTGTTTATGGGCTGATTCCTTCCAACCTTGAGGGCAAGGTTGTGCCAGATGGTGAGGGACATGTTAGGAAGGTGGATTCAAAGGAAATCAGAAAATCCAAGAGGGTTCGTTAGTCTCCATTTTGGGCCAAAAATTATGTTGTTTAGCAAATATTTAGCAGTTTATGTCGCTGTTATTTTGGGTAGTTTCAATAGTTTTAAGGAAACTGCATTATTAAGTTTTTATGTACCGGCTATATTAACTCTGAACTCAAATAATATAAGCAGCGAAGAACTTATTCACTAAAAACTGTATTCTCTCTTTTATTTCTTCTTGGAGGCTCTACTCCCTCATATCGAGTAGATTTGTGCTTAACAACGCGTTTGCTTGAAACAAGTTAACGAAAATTGTTTTATAATATTCTCTAATGAGCTGAGAAAAAGACTTTATCCACCCTAAGGTTTTAATCAATTATGTCTAGATCAAGTGTTTTAAAATACCTAATTTACCCCACATGAATTTAACAAATGTTTATAATTAGTTAATTGAATTTTTTCTATTTAAGAACCAAAACACCTCTCATTTAGATATTGTCTTAGTTTTAAAAGCCTAGATTTTACCCCACACTGTTTATTTATCCTTAACGGCTGTTACAATCACGGGAGTATATCCCAATACTGCACAACTTGCACTAGTAAACCTAAACCCCATTAATTCCTAATGAACAAGATGATGTTAGTTCTTGCATAACTGCACATGGTTCAATACAACTGTAAGCACTTAAAGAAAAAGCACTTAATAGGACGAGGTTGACACAAGTAATAATACATTACTTCACCTCCAACTAGCTAGGGCGCTCACAAGTTAACAAGATTATTTTAACAAAATTTCCACCAAATGGAAGGATTTAATACAGATAATAAGCACAATATTACGCAAAAATATCATGCAGCTTGCTACGGCCTGTATGTTTATACTACAAAACTGGTAAATTTTCTTCAAAAATATCCGCATCTAACGACTAGCTATAATAAAGAGCTCATAATGATTTCAGAACTAGAAGGTCGACTATAGTAACAACTCGACAATCTGAACAGCTTTAAGTGCTGCTCCTTTGCAAATTTGATCACCGTAGACAAAGATATCCTACCTGTTTCAAATTTCCCCATCAGTGTGATGGTTTGCTACTAAAAGTTGAATGTAACTTCAATAAAGAAAGATATGGCCCAAGACTATTACCCGAGATTCCCATCATGACGAATCCGGCCAACTGCGACATCATCTTTGTTTGATACCTCCAATGGCGTAGGAAAGTGATTGGATGCCCGTTCATCAATAACAACTACTCCTAGTGCATTCTTTAGAATTTCCTTAGCTGTGTCCTGGATATACAAGTTAACTAAGTCAAGAATGTTTACAAGTTAAAATAGAACACTAAGAATTTTATCCTTAATTTAAAAAGATATATATTTTTAATTGAGACACACATAATGAACCTAGTACGGAACTGCTTGCAAATCATAATATCCTGTTTTAGAGGGTTAATCTGGGATGATAAACAAACTTATCACCCCAAAATCATGAGGTTCAGGTCACGTTTAATTGGGACTAAATTTGGGCATAAATGGAGAACCAAAAACTTCTTTGCGTGCAACAAATTGTTAATGTTTAGGTTTTACAGAAGGATAGAAGTTGACAATTTTATGCCATCAGAATATTTGGCAAAAGAAAACCAATGAAAGAAAAAATAAGCCATTACTTTAAAATCAAATATTAAATTTTCTAACAAATATGCTCTGTTTTCACGGGAACAGCCTTCTTTTCCATTAATGAATCAACTTTCTGATAAGAATGTTGAAGCTGAAAACCGTTTACAGTGAGAAGCTTCCAGAATTGTTTTAAGTCACTAGGAAAAATATGCTACATTAAAATGAATTTTTGTTACACAACGTTTACTATGAGCATCAGTTTTACTAAGGTGTCAAACTATATATCCTTTTTGGAAGGTGACAACTCAATGTAATGACGCGAATCAGAAAACTAGATACAGAAGACCAAAGCAGAACAAGAAAGAGCAGGGAACGGAGCCTGGAGAGACCATCTAAAAGGAACATGAAATCTATATTTAAAGAACGTATAAGGTCGAAGACACTATTTGCGACCACCTCCACCGAAGATTTTCTCATAGTAAATATTTATCAAAAAATTTCAAGACTGTTGCACTTAAAACATTTAATAGCTCTTCAAATCTTAAACTATCTGTCTTAGAAACATCGAGAGAAAGCATAAAGTGAGAGAGTTTCTATGTGTTAGGGGTAAGGTAAGACTTTTGGTTTTAATTATTGTTGGCTGCTTTCTTTTGTCTTCAATGTTGTTTGATTTGTATTGGCCGTTGTTTCTACTATACTTAATACTCTTTTATAACTAAAGTGATACCACCAAATATCTAACGAACTCCGATTTGAAATTGCTGCTTTGCATCACTGATTGTGAGTAATTCTTGTTATAGTGATATGATAATTTTGATAAAATGGATAAAGTTGCTTCTATGTCGAGGTCCCTGGAATGTCAATGGATATTGGGTATTCCTGATTGTATCTTATTTCTAAGACGTTTTAATAGTTTAAGTTCATCTTCAGGATAAGATGAACACTACTTTTGCACTGGCTTTTTATGCTGTTTGTATAATTGCAGTCAGTATCAAATGGCATAATTTGGCTGTTTTACCAACTTTATTTATTTCTGTCATAATTATCAACTGAATAATAATGCTTAAAATTTGTTATACTTCATTGTTTTGCATGAATCGAATTGCATTTTCTACTCATTTCTCTAATGTTATTGTTTATATTCAGTATTGTATTTTTGTATCTTTGACTATATTTCTCTCATGACTCGTATGAAGATCTTGTGTTTTCTGCATAGGTAAGGCCTATGTGGTCTAAAGATCACTATGAAATGAGGGAATATAATGCTGATGTGTCAAAAGATGAAGATGATTTCTCTATTCTCGCAAAAAGGAGGTGTAAGTATTTTGGTTTTGTCAACTTATTTATTCGAATTCGTTCACAATCTATTTAGTTTCAGTTTAAAAGTGTTCACAACAGAATCACAATGAATCACAACACATCTGACAGATTTTGTTTTAATATTTATGCATATCGCACCTGCCTTAATTAAATGTGATTATATTTCCAATTGTGGAAAGATTTTTGTGAATATTATATATTATGTGAGCTAGAAAATATTTTATTTAATTATGATTTCAAGAATCCTTTTCCTAAAAGAAGATTATGATTTCAATAATTATTTTCTTATAAGAAGATTATAAATTAAAGAATCATTTCCAATAAAGAAGTCTAAGATCTCAAGAATCCTCTCCAAAACAGATTTGGTTTCTTGTTTTTCCTTTCAACGTCACTCAAGTATAAATAATCTTTTAATTATTGTGACTTTTTTAAGGAAGCCATATTATTTACCTTTATTATTCTCTGAATATTTTCTTTGAAGTTGTTCAATTTTTGTAGGTTTCCAATATGGTTTAGTAGGCTTTGAATTACCGTGTTTTATCTCTTGCTTGCATGAGTTGATTCTGCAACATTGTTCCGTGTTGAGATCTGGACGTGTTCAAGCTGTTGCTACCGAAGTAATTCGTCATTGTTGAACCTTGAGAGGAGCTCAAGTGTGACTTGGTGGTCCCGTGGATGAAAAGCTAGACTATGAAGGTTTGAGGTTCAACCAAAGAGCGAAGATTGAAGTGTTGTCCAAACAGTGAGTTTTTATAACTGATACTTATTCTTGTCTTTATAATTGAACACATAATTTTTTCATAATGGATTAGCTTTTTTTGGACTTAGTCCCATAGATGCATGTTGTCGAACCATGTAAAATTGAGTTGTGTATTTTATTTTATGTCGTGGATGATTTATATATTTAATCATTAGTTTAGCAACTCATTAAGTACAACGTAAACAAGTAATCTTAATTACGCATCAGTTTTAATCAACATGATAAAGTTTTAAAACTTTCTGGAGGCCTTTTGAATTAATACTTTAAGATTTGCCGAGCATCCTGTAAATTTGCAAAGAGTCACAGATTACCATTTTTACTCTTTTCTTTTCAACTAGTAAAACCTTTTGAATTAATTCATTAAGAGTTGTGGGGAGCATCTCCTGTTGATTCAGTTACTGGTGTGAGATACTTCGCACTATTCATTGATGATTTCTGATGCGGTTTATTCTATTTTTTTCAAAATCAAACAACTCATTTAAACACAATTTGATTCTAAAATTAAAGCCCTCCAAATTGATTGAGGAGGTGAATATAGATCTCTCCACACAAGATTTTTCTAGAGTACAGTTCTTAACATCAAAGATACATATGTCTTGATAAATTTATAACGATAAGTCATATCTATATTTTCAATGACGTAACTATTTCCTTTCAAGACTTCAATCTTATCTTCTTTTTCTACAGCCGAATCACCATCTCTATCTTGCTTCTATTCCGGCCTACTCTTGACACTTTTCCTATGTCTTCACCTTAATTTTCCATCACAAATTCTCCTACCCCCACTAGTCCATCACTACCCTCACGTTACAGTAACTTATTATATATGCAGCACTAAAGGCCACTATCATCAACTGGGGCTTTAAACCCCTAGAGGAAACAAAGACAACCAGAACACCGAACCAATTTTTGCTGAACAATATTTCCAGGTCATGTCTTCTCGAATAATAAAAAATTCATTGAATATTCACTGTGATATTGTGGATGATTACACTAGATGCACTTGGGTATTTCTTATGAAATATAAAAGAGAAACTCCTTTACTCTCACAGTCTTTTTATTATTTTGTTGAAACTCAATTCAATAAGAAAATTAAAGTCATACGTATTGATAATGGTTTGGAATTTTTTTTCATTTTTGGTATCCAAGGGTGCCCCGTTTAACTTGCACACCTCAACTAATCTCTCGGGCCTTGAAATTAAAGGTCAGGTAAGCTTTCTGTAACTACCTTTATTAGTACTCGTAGGGATTAGAACTCATGACCTCTTGAGTAATACACCCAAGAATCTCAAGTGAACCGCCAAACTACCTAGAAGTAATTATGGCTTGGAATTTGAGATGGAAGAATTCTTTAAAATTAGAGGCATTGTGCATAAAAAGAGTTGCGTTAACACAACTGAACCAAAATGCGGTTCTGGAAATAAAACATAGACATTTACTTCATATAGTTCACATCCGGTGTTTTCAATCAGGACTTACCTTACAATTTCGACGACAACTTAAAAAAATTATTTAAAACGCCTTTTAAAAAAAATGCTAGAATCTGAAAAATATTGGCCAAATTCAAACTTTTAATTTTTAATTTTTTGTTTTCTTCAGATTTGTGTTAATTGTTTAACTTGTTAGAAAATTAATTTTTTTAAGTTTTAAATCATATTATTTTTAATTTTTCAGATATTTCTTATATTTTCTATTATTCCAGATTTTTATTTCGTTTTTTTCAGAATTTTTTTTCCATTTTTCAGACTTTTCAATTTTTTTATTTCATATTTTTCAATTTTTTATTTATTTCTTTTAAAAATTTGTAATATTTTAGGTAATTTAACAATTTTTAAGCTTAAAAAAGGTATTGACATTGAGAATAGAAAGTACAAAGATTGATGGGTATATCAAATAAGGGCATTAAGGTCATTTAGTCTAATTTGGTTAAAAATAACGGAAGAAAGGTTGACCGTAGCGATTTAGAATAATTTACCAATCTTATAGGGGGTTTGTTGGATCTAGGAAAACCTCCGAGAATTTAAAGGACTAACCCAAATATATAATCTGTCATTTCGTTTTTTACGCTGTTTTTGTCAATTACATATCTTCGCTCCAGCATGTACTGTTGTTTCTTCTCAGCATCCACTCCGGCGAGACCATCGCCCTCATTTTCTGTTTTCCAGGGAAATCTTACTCTGTCATCTCGCCAATTTCTTTTTTTCTGTCCTATAATTGTGTTGCAAAATCATATGTACTTAAATATTGAGCATTTAGATCGAAGTTTATCAGATAATTGATTGAATGAATTCTAATTTATGTTTGCAAATGAATACGTAGACAAGAATATATGTGTCTGTGTGAGTAAGACGTTAATAGTCATTCTTGTTTTCTATTATTTCTTATGTTTTTTAAACTTTTTTAGGCTCTATTTGCTGACCTTTCTTGTTTTCTATTTGATTGTGCAGGGCATTGGTCATAACACTTCCAAATATGGCTTCTATGCGTAAGCGTTTTCCGAGTGATGCAATGAATAAAAAGTATACAGTAGATAAGACGTTTAGAGATAGCAAATATGGTCTGATTCGCAATGGTGTTGAGAGAGACACAGGTCGGTTAGTGGCTTTTAAATTTATTGAGAAATCCAATGAACTTGAAGAACTCCCAAACTTAGAATCCCCAAGCTTGATCACACGTGAAACCTCTAAAATCATGGGGTTGAACCATCCGAATGTCACCAGGTATAAAATAAAATTGTTTCCTGAGTTTAAAACCATAGAAAATTGCACTAGTTTTAGGATTCTATCCTAAAATTGTTTTTGAAATATTTACTTAAACCGTTTTGTTAAATTTCCTGTATCAGTTGTTTTTGAAAACGATAAAATGTATTTAAATTCTATATGGAGGAGGCTCTTATAAATTGTTTTTACTTAATATTGTTGTGGGTGAGACTATTTTTTATTTTTCTGAATGCTTGTTAGCTGTTCAATGTGTAAAAAATCTTTTATTGAGTAGTAACTGTGTTTCTTTTAAGAAAATAAGTAATTTGATAGAAATGTTGTTATAGGTGTCTGAGAACAGAAACTGATGATACTTTTTTGTATCTTGTTTTCGAGAACCTACCGTGGGATTTGGATGATTTTGGAAGAGGGCAGGCGAAGATTGAGAATCAAGTCTCCATAAAGGTATGTCAAACCTTGATATCAAAAGTATACCAATAAAAGTTGTTTCTTAATTCATGTAATTTAAGTTATTATTGGTTGTCACTAGTTCAACTGAGAGATTTCACATGAGCACATATATATTTTTACAGGACGTTTTAATTAGATGCATTACCATATTATTTCTTTTCATGGGATGTAAATGTGAATCAATATTCAAGACGAATTTTATAACGTTATAGTTTCAAATGCCATTTTAAAACTCTGAAGTATGGGTTCAATACATCCTGTTTAGGAAAATGACCTATTTTATTTGCTCATTATTAGTCAATAACATATTCACAAACCTTGTATATAGCTGAAGTTTCCATTTCCCATCTTATGGGGAACTCTTTTCACTCCGTCGATCTCTATCCCCCTCTAGGGGTTACTGCAACAAAAATGACTATTTATGAGGGCTAAATATTGTGGTAATGGAACTCGGAAAAATGTTTTTCCAAAGGGCTAAAAATTGTAGGAGTCTACCGTTATTTCTCTTGTTGGAAAATTTATTTTTCTTGGGAGCGGTTGGAAATAATACTATTTTCGAGATACATCACCCTCGATGATAAGAACATTTTCGAGGAAGGAAAACCGTTGAAAGTATACTATATACCAAGAGGCATAATCTCATAACAAATACTAGTAGTAATAGGTTCTTGTTTGGTCTAATACCTAAAACACACCTATTATCTTTTGGTTACAATATTTCTGATGGGTAACAACCTGAATGTTTTTTTTTTTTTTTTTTTTTTTTTTTTGGCATAATGACAGTATTTTAGTTTCATGAGACCAAATTTAAACTGAGTAATTGAAAATTTTCAATAAATACTTGATTTCATTATCAATGTATGTGCTTGAAAGATGGTTAATAGTTGTAGATTTTGACCAGATTTCTTTCAACTGCAGCATATTCTTCAAGGGATTCTTCATGGTATAGAATATTTGCGGTCTCAAAATTGTGTCCATGAAGATTTGAGACCTGAATTTGTGCTGTTTGATCCTGATAGTAAGAGGGTAAAGGTTGCTTACTTTGGAGAGCCCAAGAGTATGGACGATCTTGTGAATGACTGGTGTCTGGATAACCCGGTATTAATATTAATCTTTCACTCTTTTGGTTTTGTGATCCTACTGTTATATTGATAAGAAAAAATCTAGAATACCACAAAGGTATCGCATCAGCCATATCATCAGTTTAGTCTATGTCTTTCTATCATGTGATATATACATTTCATTTGCAGGGAGAAGCTTTGAAGGCCGCCAGTCTTTATTACCAGGCACCTGAAATACTTTTTAAGGGAAGCTCTAAGGTAGTTGATATGTGGGCTGTGGGCTGTATCTTTGGTGAGATGCTAACTGGGCGGCCCCTGTTTCCTTCTAATACTTGGTTACATATCCTTGCGAATATTTTCAGGTATTTTTCTTTACATACATCTTAAAAAGTTTCATTTATACTATATATATGCAATGTTGAGATTCTAACTTTAAATTTCCTCGCCAACAATTATATCAATTGGGATCAAAAGTTGGGATCTCAGTTTTCGATACTGTTTAACAAACTTAAAAATTTCTTGTACAGGGTCTTGGGCGAACCAAAGCCAGAAGTAAATGGCAAAATTGAAATTACTATTGATGGTCTTTTAACCCTTTCAAAAAATTTTGATTATAAGGTATATAAGAGAGGTTAGAATTTAGTTGTTTTGAATGAGATTGAGTACATTATGTAAATTATTTTTTATATTGCAGGACTTGGCAAAAGAGTTTCCAAGTCTCGAACCTGCTGGAGTTGACCTTATCTCAGTAAGTTTGATTTAATTTACTAATTTGTCATCAAATTAAGCAGATTTTGTGACAAATTTTTGAGTTTTTTAAGTCATCTTTTGGTGGTTTTATTCATGTTTAAATTTTTACCAGAGAATGCTATGCTTGGATCCAGACCAAAGGATAACTCCTCGGGAAGCACTTGAGCATGAATATTTTAAAGATCTTTAGGATATATTTTTATTAATCTTCCCTTTCCCGGCAGGCTTTTTTTATTTTTTATTTTCTGTATTTCCCAACACAAAAATATGCTAGTTTCATGATTTGTGTTAAAACAGACTCTAAAAGTAGAACATCAATATACTCTCACAATACTGAGAAAAATTAGAACAAAATTCAAAGAAGGATTGTCAACCTCATCAAAGTATGGATCGAGAATTGCACCTTCGCTTGTAATTCTTTCTCTTGGATCCACACACAACATTTTCTATAGAAAAATAAAAGCACAAGCATTAAATCACATCCATATAGCTCGATCAAAATATATATTTTTAAACAATATGTATATAATTAAGCTAAACTTACTTTAAGAAGAGCCAGTCCACTTGAACCAATAGATCCGGCTTCTAAATCCAAAAAGTATATAGCTTTATAAGACAACTAACACAAGAGAAAAATAAATAAGATACCCAAAATATTATACTGAATTTTAAAACATTCAACTAAATACAATTTCTACTACCAATTCCACCACAGTCCTAGCTTCTTTTGTCATTTGGAATTGGTAGTAGAAATTAAATTTGGCAGAAATTAAATTTCTACTACCAATTCCACCTACACATCACAATAAAGTCAACAGTGGAAAGGGAAAAGAGATCAATCCATACAAAAATAACAAATAGATATTGTATCGCACCTGAAAAAATCCAAAAAATGCTTATTTGATCATTTCTCAATAAATGTGTTTTTGCCGCCATATAAAGTAATAGAGTAATGCTACATTTACAATCTCTTCTCACAACTAGACATGACAACTCACAATTAGTCAATTACAATTTTATCAGATGGGATCTATAGCAAGCTAACCAATTGCGAGTTATCATGTCAAGGTTGTGAGAGAAATGTTGTAAGAAGAGTTTGTCCCTCCATCTAATATGTTAGCTTTTTAGGTGTAAAACTTCCAGTCTGTGACAAGTGGTATTAAGGCAAACCCTATTCATCTTTCTGTGCCCAGCTAGGCACCCACACAAAGGGGTGTCCATGTAACATCCACTTTAAGGTACATCTTTGACTCATGTTCATTTGTTTTTAAATGTTGTTTATTGGCCTAAGTTAAATAGACATGTTATTTAAGTAGTTAGAATGGTTTGGATGCCCTGAATTTGGTGAAGTCTTGCGGAATTTTGGAAGTGCAGACTTCGCTGCGGCGAAGAAGGAGTTTCGCCATGGCGACGTATGCTCTGGATTTCTTCACCGAGGCGAAGGAATAAACTTCGTCGGGGCGAAGAGCCGGCAGATTTTTCTAGTGAAGTTTCAAGAAAATTTTCCATAAGGGTTAAGTGACCATTCTACCCCTAATTAGCAAGAAAGGTGGGGAGTGAAATGCAAGAAAATTTCATGGAGAATATTTTAGAGTGGGGGTGAATTTGTAAAGAAATAAAAGATAAGGATGAAATTTTCAAGAAAGTGGAAGGGTGAAATGGGAAAGAAGGCTTAGTTTATGAGATATTAAGGGTTAGTCTTCTAAATCCCTTCATTTTCCTTATTCCACCGCCTCTTCCATTCTCCATTTCCTCTCAACTCTTCACTCAATCTTCCAAGGATTTTTTAGGGCTTTTAGTTGGATCTTGGTAGAAAATTGATCCTAAGCATCAAGAGGTAAGGATTCATGCTCTAGTATAAATTTAAGTTGAGTAAGTGTTGAGTTCTTATTAAGTTTATGCTTAGGAATTAAGAGAAGAAGCAAGTCCAACAAGTTAGAGAGCTTTTGTGGAAGAACTAAAAAAGAAGGTAAGTAAATCCAACCCAAGTTAAGATTTAAGCAATCAAATGATTTGATATGTATTTATATACTTATAATTGTGAGATTGATTGGTAAGTTTGTAATTGTTGATGAGTTGATGGGTTGATGAATGGTTTTTGAGCCATGAGAAGTAGAGTCAAGGTTGGGATGGCCAATTGAAGTTTGACTGAATTTGAGAAGAATTTGAGTAGAGAATTTTGAAGTGCCTTTCCTTGACAGGTTTAGATTTATTATAGAGGAGTTTCACTCCAATTATGGATGGTCCAAGAAAGAAATAGAACTATAGTTAAAGTAGAATTAATTATGCATGCTTATTATTTGATGAAATGCTTGAGAGAAGCATATGCATGAGTAGAGAACCTTATTTTGTGAAACATTACATGTTTGCATTACATGATTGCACCAAAGAAAGAAACATAAGCATATACCATCCACATGCATATATTTGAATATGCATGAGAGCTTAAAGAAAGAATAAATAATTCTAAGAATAAAGAGAAAGTAAGAAATAGCACTAAAGAATTAAAGAAAGAGAGTGCTAGAGAAAAGAAAAGAATATGTTGTAGTGATGGGGAACTCGTGAGTGATGAGAAGAAAGTCTCACATACATGCCACCTTAATTGAGTGGCATAAGAAGAATAAAGAAAGTGTACGACCCGTAAGAGTGTATGTGGATGAGGTTTATACCAAGAAGGAAGTTTTACATGCACGCCACCTTAATTGAGTGGCATGAGAATAAAAAAAGAATTTATACAGTCCGCAAGAGTGCATGTAGATGAGGACTGTACTCACTCACATGGCTAGGGTTCCGAATCCATGCATCAACCGAGTCCGATCGGCATAAGAATAAACATAAGAATGAGAATAAGAAAAGACTAAGAAAGAATAAGCTAGAATAAGAAAGAATGAGAAAGCTTGAGCATACAAGAAAAGAAAAGAAGAGCTTGAGCAAGAAAGAAAGAAAGAAAGAAAATATATTTCTATGCATTATTGCGAGTGCATTGCATACATGCATATTACCATGATTTTCATCATGGTGAGTAAGAATAGAAAGAAAGAAAAGAACAGTGAGAACTAGAAACAGAGAAAGAAAAGAGAAAGAACATAAAGAATGAAGAAGAGTAAGAATAGAGTAAGGAAAGAACCAAAGAATAAGTTGCAGGGATAAGTAGTAGAGGATTTACTTACTGAGCCTTTTTGTGCTCACCCTGTTGTTTTTCCAATTTTTGTAAGAAATAGGTAGGCAGCGGTCGGAAGGGCGTCTTGGAGCGGAGAGAAAAGGCACCACTGTCCCTTGCGTATAAGTTTCTTGTATATATGACTTTTGTATATGTAAAGAATGTATGTATTTTATAAAGAAAAATTTGGGCCCAACTATATTTCATATACTATGTATGTATGTTTTTATGGTATGTGTTTTGAGTATATTAGTAAGTAAAAGAAGGTGTTACAGTCCACGTGTGATTGTGGGTCCACCTGAGGGTGAGGTGGACGGGTAGGTAAGGGGGTCCCACCTATGACGGGAGCGTCATAGGATTAGGTGGGGGAGAATGTCACATATCCCATATTGGAGGGGAAATGGGGGCGTCTTGGGTTTATAAAGAGGAGAGTCCCTCCAACTAATAGGTTAGCATTTTGGGTGTGAAACTCCCAGCTCATGTCATATGGCACAACCAATCTTCACGGTGAAGTTCAACCATCACTTAGTCACCATAGATCAGATCATCTCCTACCACCAGCTTAGATCTAGGGTTTTCTAGTTTTTAGGGTTCCGAAATGTAAGATAGGGAAGAGAAGTGTGAAAGAGATAAGGAAAAAAGTAGTTTTAATTTTGAAAATTTATAAAATATAGAAGTATACTGAATTCTCTAGGGAAAGAAGTCATTTTCCATTATTATATAACAAAAATTATATCGATGTCATGGCCAAGGGTGGTATCCATATATTTTTTTGTCAGAATCTGGATATGGAGAGGCAAGAGAGGTAGTTGGACTACTGAAGTATGTCGAGAGGAAAAGGCTAGAGAGGCAAGAGAAGCAAGTTGGTTGCTGAGTATGCTGAGAGAGAAGAAGAACAAAGATAACAGGAAGAAATATTTGTGTATTTGATATATTCTTCATGTATAGTTTACATTAATTTATACAAGAGGAAATGTGACTTGTAAGGAATGAAATAAAATAAATAATTACATAATCAATACATAGAAGGCAATGTTATATTTTCAACTAATCATACTTTAATTAGACCATATCAAACCTCCATTAATTGCGCATATCTTCACTCTAGTGTCAACACTACCCCTTAAGCTCATGGTTTATAAATGTCATAAACTCTGAGCTTGCTAACGAATATGAATGTTTTCTGTGACATAACAATTTTGTGAAGATATCTATTGGTTGATCTGCGGTATGGATGTGCTCTGTTTTGATCATACCTTCCTGTATCTTGTCTCTAACAAAGTGGCAATCAATCTCCATATACTTCATTCTTTCATGAAAAATTGGATTAGTTGCAATGTCGTTTGCTATCTTGTTGTCACAATATAGTCTGACCGTATTTCCACTTGTATATTTAGATCCTTTAACAAACCAAGAATCCATGTGATCTCACACATGGTTTTGGTCATGGCTTTATACTATGCTTCTGTTGATAAGAGTGATACTGTGGTTTGTATCTTTGTTTACCATGAGATAAGGGACTATCCAAGTTTGATGCAAAAACCAGTAAGAGATCTTCTTGTCATTGGACATGAACCCCAATCTGAGTCGTAGTATGCTATGATGCTTAGTTCTCCTTTCCTTGGTAAAAGAATACCAACCTTGGACAACCTTTTAAGTATTTGAGTACCTTAATTGATGCATCCATGTGGGATTATTTAGGGGCATGCATGAATTGGCTAAAAATTTGTATTGCATAACTGATGTCTGGTCGAGTCATTGTAAGGTATATGAGCCTTCCTATGAGTGATTGATAGCTGGTGCTATCTTCTAACAAGAATCTGTCTCAGGATTTTGGTTTTCTTCATCGTATTCTTGTGTGATGAGCTTAACATTTTGTTCCACAAGAATGTTACTTGGTTTGCATGCTGCTAACCTTGAATCTGATATGACTTCAAGCACATATTTCTATTGATTGAGGGATATTCCTTCTGACGATTGAGCAATTTCAATACCCAGAAAATACTTTGGTGCCCCTAAGTGTTTAATGT